GGACCGTCCTGTTCTCTCCGTCCCTCCACTCCACTCTAGCGCCTCCAGGCAGGCAGACTCTGGTTCTGCAGGGCAGCAGGACAAACTTCTCCCATGGATCCACCTTCACCTGTGGAGCTGAGAGACAACAGAGGACAAGATGAGCTGGACGGACAGATGGACAGCAGCTCTGATGAGAGAGAAGTGGAGCAGATGATGAGCTGATATCGTCTCTATCGTTCCTCCTGGACCTGGATGAACGATGGATAAAAACGATAAAAACCTTCATCAGCTCAGAGACCATGAAGGTTTTTCTGGTTTAAATGTTTCCTTGTAACTGAGACGTTCAAGTCAGAGAGAAAAATCCTCCAGCAGAGTTTCATCACCAAGGCAACGGCTCTGAATGCAGGACGGAACTGTAGTTTCTAGCTTCGCCACTAGGGGGCGCAGCCACTTTGTGAGAAAAGTTCAGATGTGAAATAATGTTCAGGAATCAGATCAGCAGAAGTTGTTTGTAGGTAGTTTATGTGTATTTATGTCCATCAGAGTAAGATACAGTCTATTTGTGTTTAATAAGATTAATATGTATATTTTGTTACTTTAGACATTTTCTGTTTGCTCATTTTGCCCAGAAGAAGCTGAGTTTTACTATAAAATGGTGAATTATATTATGTTTAGTTTCTTTTACTGTAACTTTATTAGTAACTGAAATATAAGGCTGGAGAAATTAGAAGTTTTTATTATTTTCCAAATATAGCGAAGCTATAAGGGCTTATATTAAGACAAGTAATGTGATTATCATGTTTGTAGCTTAGAAAATGATTATTGGTGATCATGGTGGATTGTAAGTTTTATTTATCTGATCCTTTGTAGATCCACATCCATCCACCTAAACCCTGAATCTGCCTTTTAAAGAACCAGGAAATCATCACCTCATCATTTGATTGAGGATCAATGAGGCTTTTAATCGATGAACATTCTGCGATCACCACCTTGTGATCCAAACCCAATTCTTACGATCTGAATCGGAACAAATCGGTCCTTCGATCCGGATCCAGGAGATTAGAGTGAATATGGATGATGACCTTCAGTGAGCAGGTTGGGTCCACAGTTCTACACCTCCTAGTTCTACAGTTCTACACCTCCTAGTTCTACACCTCCTAGTTCTACAGTTCTACACCTCCTAGTTTGACAGTTCTACACCTTCTAGTTCTACAGTTCTACACCTAGTTCTACAGTTCTACACCTCCTAGATCTAGACCTCCTAGTTCTACACCTAGTTTTACAGTTCTACACCTCCTAGTTCTACAGTTCTACACCTCCTAGTTCTACACCTAGTTCTACAGTTCTACACCTCCTAGTTCTACACCTCCTAGTTCTACAGTTCTACATCTCCTAGTTCTACACCTCCTAGTTCTACAGTTCTACATCTCCTAGTTCTACAGTTCTACACCTCCTAGTTCTACAGTTCTACACCTCCTAGATCTCCAGTTCTACACCTCCTAGTTCTACAGTTCTACACCTCCTAGTTCTACACCTCCTAGTTCTCCAGTTCTACACCTCCTAGTTCTACAGTTCTACACCTAGTTCTACACATCCTAGTTCGACAGTTCCTAGTTCGACAGTTCTACACCTTCTAGTTCTACACCTCCTAGTTCTACAGTTCTACACCTCCTAGTTCTACAGTTCCACACCTCCTAGTTCTACACCTCCTAGTTCTACACCTCCTAGTTCTGCACCTCCTAGTTCTACAGTTCTGCACCTCCTAGTTCTACAATCCTCCACTGATACTAACTATGTAGCAGTGAGTTTATCATTATGGGGAGACATAGGGGAAACCTGACTGACCCCTAAACATCTGGAGCAGAAATATCAAACACTGGGGGCAAAGTGTATGACTCTGATCTGATCCCTTGTTTCAGAAACGACTAATTAACACGTTAATAAGGATACAGACCAGGATTTCTGCTGCTGATTGCGATACCGATCACCATGAGGCTAATCACTGATCTCTGGATTGACTGTTAATATTTAGCTTCATATAAAAATGCTACCATGTGATCTGGGCAAATTAAAAAAGATGAACTGACAATAAATTATATGAATAAATATAAATAATATAAACTGTTAAATAAATGGCTCTGAATGGCTAGCTGATTAATCCTTTTTTCTGATTGGCTAGCTGATTAAGGCTGGTTCTGTTTGGCTAGCTTATTGCTGGCTCTAATTTGCTAGTTGATTAATGCTTTTTCTGATGAGCTAGCTGATTAATGTTCGCTATGATTGGCTAGCTGATTAAATCTAGCTGTGATTAGCTAGCTGATTAATTCTCCCTCAGATTGGCTAGCTGTTTAATGCTGGCTCTGTTTGGCTAGCTTATTGCTGGCTCAGATTGGCTAGCGGATTCCTGCTGGCTCTGATTAGCTATCGGATTCATGCTGGCTCTGATTAGCTA